CTCTCTCTCTCTCTCTCACACACACACACACACACACACACACACACACACACACACACACACACACACACACACACACACACACACACACACAGCATAGTGCCCCCTCCTCTTATTAACAGCAGGCTAGTGGGAGATGTCAGTCAAAGGGGGAGGGGGTGTTGTGAGGACATGGCGAATGTGTGTGTGTGTGTGTGTATGTGGTGGGGGTCTTTGTGAGCAAGCGAGGTGGGAGGAGAAGGGGAGAGGGAGGGGGATAGAACGTTCTATTTCTCATACACCAACAGCTGCTGTCTTTAATGCAGAGGGAGAGAGAGAGAGGGAGGGCTGTGTGGCGTGAGGCAGTGCGTGTGCTCAGTGTTTAGGTGAATCCACAGCCCTCTGGCTCACAAGAATAAAGGATCCTCACAGAGGAAGAGAAAGAAAAGCAACCCAGGGACTCTTTTTTCCTCTTTTATTTTACATCCTCTGTCTCTCATTCCCTCACTAGCCACCAGTTCCCGGCGTCTGCGTTTTGTCTCTGCTTCTCTGCTCTTTGTCCTCCTCTTTTGTTCCCTGCATCCATCTCTGCTTCACCTCGCTCCGGAGAGAAGGAAGGAAGAGCAGAGTCAGAGGCAGCATCCTCCCCTCCTGCACGCCCAGCCGGTAAGCTGAGCCAACACTGTCCTCTTCTTCTTCTTTTTTGTATCATTCACTATCACCCCATCTGTTTAGCACTGATAGTAAGAAGGGTCCAGATAGTCCCACCCTGCATCTAAGAGAGAAGCTGTGAGCTGGAGACAGAGGCTGAGGAGGAGGAGAGGATGGAAGATGGAGGTGGGTTAGACTTTAGATGCAGGCTGGTGGGTGATTTCAGCTGCGGGATGGTGCTACTGCCTGAGGGTAGGTGGGCTGGATGTGGTGGACTATAGCCTGGCTCAGGATCCTGGAGGTATAAGGGGAGGGAGTGTTGAATTTGGCCTGAACACATCAAACCCCTGTGGGGCTGGTCAACTAGGACTTGTTCTTTTTTCACTGCAGTGCTTAGCCAGAGCAGTACGGTCACTGCCACAGTGACACACACGCAGACACATGCATACATACACACACACACACACACACACACACACACACACACGCACACACACGCACACGCACACACACACACACACAAACCTCTGCATATATCTGTTCTTCCTGTGTGTATTAGCAGAAACAGGACTACACAGTCCACAGTTGCTAGTATGTTTATATTGTGTTTTCAGTGATGGATGACAGTTTGGTCACAGGACACATGTGACCTAGAACCATCACAGCACATGCATCATATATCATATTGATGCACTGGATTGTAATGTCAAGCATACCTCCCTGCTTTCTCACTTCCATTAACACACTTGCATTGCATCAGGAATTGTTCAAAGCGTCAGTACAAAAGGTTCTCGATTCTGAGGGGGGTGTTGGAGATGTGTGTGTTAGTGTTTGCTCCTGCAAGCTCGTCTCTGCAAACAGCCTGATAAAAACAATAGCCCCAGATTAGACTGCTGATCAGAAGGGGTGGGTGCATGCGACTGGAGTGGAAAACAGGGAGGAGGGAAGCAAGGAGGGAGGGAGGAGAAAACTGAATGGAAGGATGAATGAATGAGGGGTAAGGCTTTTCAGGAGTTCTTTTAAATGGGAAGAAAAAAAAAGATAGAGTGGAGGAAAGCGGGTACATGAAATTACTGGATGGAGAGAGGATGGCAGAACTCGCCATGCTGCTATGTGAATCTGCAGATCTTCTTTGTGCGTGTGGTGAAAGAGAGAATGAGAGGGATGCTGTGGATGGAGAGAGGGATAAAAAAGAAAGGTGGAAAGTGAAAGCATGATGAGGTACTTTGTGTGCATGGGCAGGTGGGAGGGAGGGAGAAACTGAGAGAGAGGTGTGTAATTGAAAGATGTGGTCCCCGTCTACCCTCCTGTAATCTACTGACTCTGGTCTTAATCCATATGAGTAGATTAAGTGATGATTTACTGCCATGTTGACTTTCATGACTGACACACACACAGACACACACACACACACACACACACACACACACACACA